TTAATCTGTTTACCTTTGATGAACTTTGGTTGCAGACATTACTAATGGTGCTTCAGAGAGGATATCCTGCCATGATGTTCTAAACAATATGTGCTGTCTGACCTCCTTCTTTTTGAGGTCTTCTGATCTTATGAGTGCATATTGTTCACAGTGGTGGATTTCAGCAGCATCATGTTCAGTTTTCAATGGAGCACTTTCATATTATTGTTTTGTTGGAACGCATTCTTCTTTGAAAGTTTGGAATGCACTGAGTGGTAATAACCTTTGGGACAGTATACGCCAAGTATACGAATGCCCACAATGCAGACTTCTTGCTTGGTATAACCTGGATGCAATCCAATGATGTCTCCAACCAGGGGCATATCTAACACGAGCAAACAAGGCATTTGCCAAGGGCGGCAATTTTTTAGGGGGCTGGCATCACCCCCCAGAAGAAGGGACCTGGTGAGCAGTGGTGGACAGAGCCATGCAGGGCCGCCATCAGAGGGGTATCACTTGTACTCCTGTAGGTGGCCCGGAAAGCAGGAGGATCGGTGTGGTGGGGGAGAGCAGTTATAGAAGGATGCACTGTGTATCTCTCCCTCCAGCAGCTGAAAGCCGGTTTGAGGTTTCTCCCCCTCTCCCTCTTGTCGGCTTTCTGCTGCTGGAGGGAGAGACAGACCTGGCCGGATGGAGGGGGTGCCCTGGTGTTCCTGAGTGGCTGCCCTCTGCTGAGCCCTTTCCCCCTCCCGCTCTCAGAGCCAGGACCAGGGGACAGCCTGGAGCAGGGAGAGAAGTGGCTGAGGAGGTGAGCTGTGTTGTGTTCTCTGGGCTCTCCCTCCTGTTGTCAATGCATCACAGATAGATCGTATGGGACTGCACATACACACAGTATGATTACCACCCCTACCCACATTTCCTGCTGCCCGGAGATCAGCAGCCCTTGGATGGGGTGGGGGTAATCATGCTGTGTGTGCAGTCCCATACGATCCGAGAGAGAAGAGGGAAGAGAGAGAAGAGAGAGAAAAGAAAGAGAGGGAAGAGAGAGGAGAAAGAGGGGGGGGAGAGAGAGGAGGAAGAGAGGGGGAAGAAGAGAGAGAGGGAAGAGAGGGAGAAAGAGAGGGGGAAGAGAAAGAGGGAAGAGGAGAGGGGGGGGAGGGGGAGGGAAAGAGAGGGGAGAGAGGGGGAAAGAGAGGAGAGAAAGAGAGAGAGAAGAGAGGGAGGGATAAAGGGAGAAGAGAGGGAGGGGGGAGAGAGGGAAGAGAGAGAGGGGGGAAGGGGGGGAGAGAGAGGGGAAGAGAGAGAGGGGGAAGAGAGAGAGGGAAGAGAGGGAGAGAGGGGAGAGAGAGGGGAAGAGAGGGAGAGGGGGGAAGAGAGGGGGAGAGAGGGGGAGAGGGGGGAGGGGGGAGAGAGATGGGGGGGAGAGAGATGGGGGGAGAAGAGAGGGAGGGAGGGAGAAAGGGAAGAGAGAGGGGGAGGGAGAGGGGGGGGGGGGGGGTGGTAGGGAGAGAAAGAGAGAGAGGGAAGAAGGGGGGGGGGGAGAGAGGGAAGAGAGAGAGAGAGATATGGAAGAGAAAGAGGGAAGAGAGAGAGGGAAGAGAGGGAGATAGAGAGAGGGAAGAGAGGGGGGGAGAGGGGGAGAGAAGGAGAGGGAGGGGGGAAAGAGAGAGAGAAGGCGAGAAAGAGGGAAGAAAGAGGGAGGTAAGAGAGAGGGAGGGAAGGGGGGGAGAGAGGGAGGGAAGAGAGAGGGAGGGAAGAGAGGGGAGGGGAGAGGAGGGAGGGAAGAGAGGGGGGGGAAGAGAGGGGAGGGAAGAGAGGGGGAGGGAAGAGAGGGGGAGGGGAATAGAGAGGTTAAAGAGAGATGGAGGGAAGAGAGAGGGAAGAGGGAGAGAGAGAGGGAAGAGGGAGGGAGAGAGAGAGGGAGAGAGTGGGAGAGAGGGAAGAGAGAGGGAGATAGTGGGGAGAGAGGGGGAGAGGAGAGGGAGAGAGGGAAGAAGAAAGAATAGAGAGGTAGAGAAGAAGGGGAGGAAGAAAGGGAAGAGGTAGAGAGGGAAGAGAGAGAGAGGGAAGAGGTAGAGAGAGAGGGAAGATAGTAGAGAGAGAGGGGGGGAAGAAGGAGAGAGAGAGGGAAAGAGAGAGAGAGAAGAGCAAGAGGGGGAAGGAGAGAGAAACAGAGAGAAGAGAAAGAGAGAGGAGAGACTCATATATACATACACACACTTTGTGAACTCTCTTGCTCTCTCAGTGGGGGGGGCGCAAACTTTTTGTGTTGCCTAGGGCAGCACAAATCTAAATACACCACTGTCTCCAACAGCAAAGATTATATGTCCTAGATTGTAAGCTCGAAAGAGCAGGGCCCTCAATCCCCTCATGTTTTGCATTGTATTGGTATTGTTCTGTCACATGTTCTGTCCCCCTTTGTAATGTACAGCGCTGAGCGAACTATTGGCGCTTTATAAATACTGTATAATAATAATAATATGTCCTGTATTGCCATACTGTATTAATAAAATGTTAGCAGCAGCAATCTCCTCTCTGAGAGGATCGGGAAGAAATGCTTTAGGCCTTATTCATATTTGTGTGTTGCAGCAGCTTTAGGTAAAATATGTGTATTATTATACTGTAAAATACTGCAATGTGCTACAAAACACACCTGCACTGCAGTGCCCTTCTTTGTGATTGCCACTTCACTGCACTGTACAGTTTAGAGCGCAAACACACAATGTACCACAGCGCATACATTTACAAAGTGGTGACCAAATCATTTAGATCAGCGTTGGTGTAGTGCTCACTCTGGAGGGGCTACTGTAGATTACATGGGTTCTCCCAAAATATTACAGAGGCTGCAATCCACAGACATAGTTTTATGCACACTAACAATACAGGTTCAGTCTAGGGGATGTCTTTTTTTAATTTATTGCTGAATAACTTGAAAACAGGAGAGGGGATCAGGGGGTTCAGGATACTCCAAAATGATCAATAGGAGGACAGATGTCTTGCACAAATCCCTAAAGCTGCAGATGCACATGACAGTCCAACAGTAGGCCTTACTCACAATGTCCCAGGAGCTGACTGCCATCCATCCTCCACAGGTAGTTCCTCAGTGAGGGAGATTAAAAAAAAAAAAACCTTCTCCAGATCAGGACATCAGAACACTGCCCTCCTCCATCCAAAAATCCTTTTGCAATCTTCTCTAGGACCTCAGCCCAGCTCCTGCTTAAGCCCAGACTGCAGACTTTCCCTTGCTGCCTCCCAAGAGCAGCAGCCCCTGGAGAATTGGATCCTTCCTAGCATAGGAAAGAACACCACTTTGCCCGGGCCCATCCAAACATTTATCACCGACCCAGCCACCATCTGGACGCCTTCTCCCCAGGCATTGGCTGGAGTCTAATATTCATAAATCAGGGGTTCCTTCTGCTCTATGTTCTGGAAGCCACCAGACCAAAAACACAGATCACCTCTCCACTGAGTACAGTGAAGCTAAAAACTAAATTTGCCTAACTTTATGGACAGGGTGCAACATTTGCTTCAGTAGAACTTTCAATCTAACCCCCCTTCTGTCATCTTACAGGTATTGTTACAGTATGTTTTTGGATATCACAAATAGATTTCAAGGTTACAGTGCTGTTGATAGATAGTAACCCCGAGGTCCTGTTCACATCTGGCATTTCGGATGTCAAGCAGAATCGTTGTGATCTCATATTGCACTGCAATAGCGGCAAAAATCACCATGGGTGCCTTTTTCAATGGCTCCTAAATGTGGTGCAGTTCTGTCACGATTCTAGCTTGATAGTTCACGGCAAACAGCACTGTGTGAAGCTTGTCGCCCAAACAGGAGAAGGAGCTTCTTTTGGGGGACAAGATTCATGCAATCTGGTTTGACACGGTTTATGGTGCAGCAATCACTGTAGAACCGCTCCTCATTTAGATGCTACTGAAAATGAGTGGCACCTGAACATGCCAGATGTGAAAACGCCAGATGTGAACAGGGTCTGAAACCCCCGCTCTGCAAGGAAATGGTAATAAAATGCTGAAGGAATGAAGAATGCTGCATTATGATTGCTCTAGCAATAGTTTGATAACTGGGGGAGATGGGGTGGCTGTTAGATTCCTCCATCCACCTCATTTGTGTGGATGGAGGAATCAGTCTTTTTTTTTTTCCTTCAGCACGCTGGCTGAAGGAAAAAAAAATCATCTAGAATATAGACATAACAAGCAAGAAGGCTAATGAAAATTACACCATAAATGCAATATCTTTAATCTATTTCTCTCCCCCCCCCCCGAACACACACTCACCAACCCAGATCACCTCAAATTGTTTAGGACTTGACATTACATAGTAATTATGTGCTAATAAAATGTTTACAATTATATACAAGTTGAGTTAGATAGGCTGTGGCTCTCCATATACTGTGAAATTCCATCTCATCAATGGGTGTAGCTGATATTGTTGGTGCCCATGACCTCATAAGTCATGTCACAGTTGCACCCTCTTCAGGCCCAACAATTACATCTTAGTGTACAAACATCAGCATTCACTCACATTTACAACTTTTTGGCAATGGTTCTTTGCTGAAAGCCAGTTCAATTTTTAATTACACAACCGAAATGAAGCAAAGTTCAATAAGTACAAACAAAGGACATTCAAACACATTGCAAAATTAATGTTTAATGAAAACAGTCTAATCTAAAGTTCGGCTTATGTTCAGTGAAAGTTTTTAATAATTATTTTATAGATCTAGTCAGTAATCACATGAAATATACTAGAAGTACTGAGATGAGTTTTATAAAATATACTGTACTGCAAGTAGCCCAACATTTAGAAGCCCATGATTCTGTGGAAAGTGTATTGCCAAGTTCTTGGTGGTACAGTGTGAAACATACTGCCAGTCCATAAAAAAGTCTGTCTATTTTTTTGTTGACCCCTGTTAAGTATAATTCTGATATCCACTTTACTTTTTTTATTCAGACTGGATTCATATAGATAGTTTTATCTATGTAATCTTAGTGTGAATGTAAAGTCAGATCCCCTGGGCTGGTTTAGGCTGCCCCATGATTAGAATAAAATCCAAAACTGCTGTGGGGAGGTAAGAGAGAGGCACAAGTATGAATTTGGCATCCCAGCCAGCAGAATATCGTGTCCATGGGTGAACTGCAGTCAGTGCGTGCTTGATGCAGTTTGTAACTCGAGACAGCTTTGTGGTGCAGAGTGGTCCGATCATATCAACAGAGCTGCAAACTAAAATAATAAATATACAGATTAAAATTTACTTTATAGAAAGATAAAATACACATGAATGATAATATATTTTTATATAATTATTGCAGGTATTACAATATCTAGAATTGATAATATAGACACTTGAAACAGAGAGTAAAATAATTTTTAGCCTCATACTTGGAGGTTGATTTATAAAGAACTTTAGTCATTTGCCCAGTGAAAATGCATGTACATTCGTTCTGTGCGAATGAGGCAAATTGTGAATATAAATAGGCTATATGCTGTGTTGGATTTTAAAACCACTTGCCTACCGGACACTTATACCCCCTTCCTGCCCAGGCCAGTTTTCAGCTTTCAGCACTACTGCACTTTGAATGACAATTGTGCGGTCATACAAACACTGTACCCATAAGAAATTTTTATCATTTTTTTTTCACACAAATAGAGCTTTCTTGTGGTGGTCTATAATCACCACTGGGTGTTTTATTTTTTGCACTATAAACAAAAAAAAAGAGTTGAAAATGTTGAAAGGTTTTCTTTGTCTCTATTATAAAATTGTACAAACAGGTCATTTTTCACCTTCACTGATGTGCACTGATGAGGCAGCACTCATAGGCAGCACTGATGGGCATTGATGAGGTGGCACTGATAGGCAGCACTGATGGGCATTGATAGGCTGCACTGTTGGGGCAGCACTGGTGGGCATTGATGAGGAGGCACTGATGATGCTGCACTGATATGTGGCACTGATGGGCACTGATAGGCGGCAATGATGGGCACTGATAAGTGGCACTGAAGGACTCTAATAGGTAGCACTGAAGGGCACTGACTAGCAGCACTGACTGGCGGCACTGACTGGCACAGATTGGCAGCACTGATGGGCAGCATTGTTGGGTACTGATAGGCAGCACTGCTGGACACTGATGGGCAGCATTACTGGGCACTGATGGGGCAGCACGGATGGGCACATTTGGGGCTGCACTGATAATCAGTGCCCTGATTATCAGTGCAGATGTCTGCTTTCACAGTTGCCTGTTACCGGCAGTACTTTCCTCACACTGTGACAGCATGAAGAAAGTACTGACGATAACCGGCAAGTGTACTTACATAGTGGTCAGCTGTGGTTGGACACGTGGCAAAAGGCCACTATGATTGACCTTTTACCATGTCATGTGATCAACTGTGTCCAAAGGACACAGTGATCACAAACAGTGCTGGGTGGGGTTGCGCAGGGGGCACATTCTGGGAGGACATCATATGACCCCCTCCCAGAACTGGACTACCGAGCTGTAGTTGTCATTCAGCTGTAGTGCAGTAGTAAAGTGGTTTAAATCATTGCTTTTAAAAAGTAAATCCTGCATTTGACCACTAGATGGAGCTAAGCATCATAGGAATTTCCTAAAATACTTTGCTCCATCTAGAGGCCAATTGCAGGATTTTCCGTTTATCAGTAATTTACAATCATTTTACTCCATTTGGGCTACATGGATTCACTACACTTCTGGGACTTCAGGGTCCTTGGGGACGTCGCAACCTCCTCCTTCAGGACCTTCCTGATACTAAAGGGTAGGAGTTTCGGGACCCTAAAAAGCCACTCGCTCCCAGAGCACCTTTATGTGAGCCCCTGACTACTTGAATCCATACGCCATCTGAGCCTAAACCCTAGTGTGTCCGCGTTTAAGTCGGACCTGCGAGCTAGCCACTGCGATAGATCCCTTACCTACCTGAGCAGTTGACGGGAGTTTTGTGTTTTCCTTTTCCCTTTTATTATTTTCATTATTGTTGTTTGTATTGTCATGCCTATACATTACTGCACAGGGCGCTTAGGCACGTGGAGATTCTTGTTTTCCACCTATGTGGAATTTAGTGTTAGCCATGATGCTTGATACAACTGTAACTCAATGCATGCTTTTCCTTGTTCTTGCTTCTTCATTTTTGTCTATGAAAAGCTTTGTTTGAAAATAAAGATTACATAAAAAAATGATTTACAATCAAACAGCACAGGATACAGTCTACTTAATTTGTTTTTTTTTGTCTTATTCACTCATAACAAATGCACTTTCACTAGGCAAATGGCTATGCAAATTCTTTATATACTGATAATGTAGGCAAATGGCTAAATTAATCGATTAAATATATATATAAGGACTGTTTCAACTGCCAATAAATTTATAATTCTCTTCATCCAGTTCTGAGATTTACACTGCTCTGCAACACAGCACAGCCTTATCTGGCAGAGCAGTAGATCTGATTATACTGATTATACAGATTATAGATCTGATCTATTATACTTACAGGTATTGTCCATCCCCCCCAGCCTGTGACTGGACAGTAAAAAGAGAAGCAGCTGACGAGTTCAGTCCTATATTGCTCTCAGCTCCTATCAGCATGCTCAGAGTGAGAACCACAGTTCCTTATGCTGCTTCTCTCTCTCTCCTCATCTGAGCTCTACTGTGCAGAGGGCTACAAGAGGCTGATACCAAGTTTAATACATTAAATAAATGATGTATTAATTAATACAAAGCTACATTAAAGCAGAACTAAGCTGTATCTGAGCACCACAAACTGAAATTGCTATTTAATTAATTTTTCATCTTTAAAGCAAACTTATCTATCCATCCATGTTTCCATACTTTATTTTGTTGAGAAATCACTTTGCACACCATTAGCATTTTTAGCTGCAGTCATCTTGAATAAATGATAAATAATAGAACCCATCCCCTGCGTTAAAAGTGCTAAATACAAATGTGATAAGTAAATCAGTGTATAACCCAGTGCATGCAAGCTGATGTGCTGGGAAAAAAAAAACCCTAAAAAAAAGAAACAGATTATATTTGGAGAAAAAATGTCACCAAACATAAGCCCAGTGCTTAATGAGTTAATCCAATCTGAAAAAGCAATATAGAAACAAATAAAGTGAATAGGAAGTGTATCTAGTACAAATAAATGCTACATTTCCAACTATATAATCAGAGTGAATAATTTGTAATACAGGTGTCCAAATGTAAACACACCACAAATCCTCAGTCTTCAGTGTAACAATCCTATGGTCCAAAACATGTGAGACCCAGTCAGTCCCACCACATGCTTCCACGGCATGTGAAAATCCATCTACACAGTTTATAAGAAAAGGTTCCACCACATGTGCCTGCCAAGCAGTAAGAAAAATCCACTGGTACCCCAAATCACTCAAGAAAGTCACTCCGCACTCACTCTAGCCCAACCTTTTATCAAAGCAAGGGAAATACGCTTATAGTGTATGTAAACCTTCACCTTGTAAAACAACACATTCAGTATAAAATAGAAGTGAAAGTCAAAATATTTGTGTATAGATATGAAAAACATTATAAATACCTTTTTCGCTGTTTTGTAAGTGATCGCAGCCTCTAAGCCAGCAATGGGCAAACTACGGCCCGCGGACCGTATACGGCCCGGCGGACCTTTTAATCCGGCCCGCAGAGCTAGGCTCCCGCTAGGCTCCTCTCACAGTCCGCCCTGAAGACCGGTGTAGCATGAAAATCTGTCTCCTATGAGGATCTGTCCCCCTCGACGTATCTGCGCATGTGCCGGAGATCGCTGATTGGCTGCTAATGCCTGAAACTGGCACATGCGCAGATACGTCGAGGGGGACAGATCCTCATAGGAGACAGATTTTCATGCTACACCGGAACGGCGCGGGAACACGGCGAGAGGAACGCACGGAGCAAAGGTAAGTGAATTGACACAGGGGGGACTTGGGGACTTAATATGGGGAATTAATTACTATAGGGGGGATGAATTACTATAGGGGGGGGATGAATTACTATATGGGGGATGAATTACTATATGGGGGATGAATTACTATAGGGGGGATGAATTACTATAGGGGGGATGAATTACTATGGGGGATGAATTACTATGGGGGATGAATTACTATATGGGGGATGAATTACTATATGGGGGATGAATTACTATATGGGGGATGAATTACTATGGGGGATGAATTACTATATGGGGGATGAATTACTATATGGGGGATTAATTACTATGCTTACTATGGGGGGAATATTACTATACTTACTATGGATGACACATACACATCATTCATCTACTCTTGGTCCGGCCCCCGGGTCCAATATATGAACCCATTGCGGCCCTCAAGTCAAAAAGTTTGCCCACCCCTGCTCTAAGCTCTTTATGCAGCTGAAAATAGAGAGCTGGGGGAGGAGAAACAGCAGAAAAATGAACTTTCCAGTGAATGACTGTGTAAGGGGGCGTGCGAGCAGACGTCTGATCATTGGACTAAGTTCCCAGCATAGCTAGATAACTGACCACACTGTGTTCTCATGCCTAGTATGTCAGTTTGTTATTGGAAAGTAGAGGGACTGGCAGGAACACCAGGGATTTCACACACAGGAAGCAATAAAAAGAGAACAGGATACTCTTTTCATACAAGTGCATGGTGCAGCAGGCACATATCAGGAATATGAAATGTTGGGTTTACATACTCTTAAAGACTTTCTGCTGCACCCAGCTTTTCACTCCCACATCTCTTCTCTCTGTCTCCGTTGATATTTAGGGAAGATTTACTAAAACTGATGCACTCAGAATCTGGTGCAGTTGTGCATGGCAGCCTATCAGCTTCTAACTTCAGCTTTTTCAATTAAACTGTGACAATAAAAGTGGGAAGCTGATTAGTTTCTATGCAGAGCTGCACCAGATTTTTCATGCTCCAGTTTTAGTGTTTATTTGCACTAGGTACACTTCTTATTCACTTTGTTTTATATTTCTTTTCAGATTGTGTTAATTCATTAAGCGCTGGGTTTATTTGGTGACATTTTTCTCCAGATATATAATTTGTTTCATCTTGAGTAAGGGCATATGATTCAAGTAGCATTTTACTAACTGGATTCCATCTGTCCTTAGCTTAGGCATGTAGACATGCCTAAGTGCTTAGCTTAGAAAAACTTCCCTCCCTCCTCCAGATGAAAGAAAAAAAAGTCCATGAAGAGTCCTAGGATGTATGACATCATTTTGGC